GTCGCTGTCAAGAGCATTTGCCAGTGCCCGCGAAGCACCTGCAACCCGAAACTGCTGCAGCCGTGTAAGTCGATGCCTTAGGATAGCGCCCTTCAAAACGAAGTCAACCACCCACCCACGCGTGATGGATTTGCTGCTGTCTCGTCCCCTCCCTTTTCCTCTTCATCGATCACAGCCGCCGCCATGTTCGATTCCAAGATCTAGGTCGATAGCGACTTGTTGAAGTCTGCACATCGGAGTCCTTTTTCTTCTCCTTCTCTCAACAGAGGTCAAGAGGAACAACGGACATCTCCACTCCTGCCTTTTGTTTGCCTATTCCGTCCCTCCATCTCTCTCCTCTCTGTCACGTCACTTGTGTTCCGAACACAGTCACAGGCGCAGACACAGTCACCCGGTCACGTTATACCTGCCCACTTCTCTCGCGAGCTGGCCCAGAACAACACGACTTTGACACCACAACCCGACGACTTGACACGGCACAGCCCAAGCAACTCTCGGTGCATCCTTCGCAGCGACATTCACTTGTTCCTTGCGAAAATCCCGAGACTCACCTGTCCTGTCCTTGTCATCCACAGCCACTCATTGCCTGACGCAACTCACCGCGTTGAGCCGAAACCGACACGACAAGACAACGACACCCCAGGCCGGGTTCTCCGTGGTCTTTTTTTCTTCGCCTCGCCCAGACTCTCCCCCTCCGCCACTCCAGGATTGGAAGCTTGGCGCCTTGCCTCGCCCCCCTCCAAAGTGCAATCAGACGACGCTTGCACTGTTTCTTTCATCCCCAGCGCTTTGACCAGGCACAGCATCATCTCTTAGTCACACCCTCCTTCCCTCATTCGCCCCCTTTGGTTTTCCGTCACTCTCCGCGATCGCACCTCTCGCCACCCCACACCACTCTCTGCCAGCTCGCTCCCAGCTGTCACTTTCGTCTCGTCGCCGGCAATTCTCGGAGTTGGCTGCCTGACCCCTTTGCCACTCGATTCGACCCCCCGGGAAAGAGTCATCCAACACCTCACTGGGCCAGCCTAAGGCCCGAGACCCCAACAGTTGGACAGCCCCCCCCCAAGGCTCCGACTTCGTCACACGCCAACCCAGCTGGCCTTGTCGCCATTTGCCTTCCGCCTTCGCCCCTCTGGCCACGTTAAGCAAAGCACGCGGCCGACAAAAGGAAGAGTCACATCTCGACTCACCTGCTCAGATAAAGTCGCGCTTGCAACCATCAGCCACACCCTGACCGTGACTTGCATCTACGCCGCTCAACATCGTCGTCGCCCTCCACCTCCAGTCCTCCATCGTCGACGTCCTCGCCATCACCACTCCCCCACCAACACTCTCACCCCTCCGCCTCTGATCATATGGTCGCTCTGCAGTAGCACCCATATAATCAGCCCTCTCTCCTCCAACCCGCTTCAAGGTTTTGGGGGAATCGCCAGTCATGCTGTTTGACACCATTATTTTCACCACTCCAGGCGTCCGGCTCGGCTCTTCCGGGTTGATCCTCCGTGTCTCGTCTGCCACAGAGACTCGCGTCTAAAGCTTTCGCTCCATACCAACTCGTCTTGGATCCTGCAGCAGCATTCACGCGCTACTGCAAGACCCGCATCCCCCCCCTCGGTATTACGACACACGGCAACCACGGTTTCAAATCGGTCGAACGCTTGACGACGACTGGAGGTGCTGCTTGCGCTCAAACATTACTAGTCTTCTTCGAATACGACATCAACGCTCCCCTCCCACCCCCGCGGCTCATCTCGAGTCGGAAAATGAAGAGCATCCGATAATGATTCGTCGGCCTTCATGGACTCTTCCTCCTCCTACCTCAACAAACCATAAAGATCTCCCTCGACATCGCGTCGTCGCTCGGGCCTGGTCTGCGGCGTCGTCGCAGTCCTCCACCGATACTTCTCCCAACACCTCTTCCGACTCGGACTCATGCGACGCGTATCCTGCCACACGCCGCTCCGTTGCATGCGACCAAGCACCGCTTGCTATCCCGGTCGAGTTGCGCCAGAACCCCCGGCGATCCAACGGCTCCGGTTCCAGAGCACCCCCCGCACTCGTCCGCCAAAGCGATCGCAAAGTCAACTTTGTGGACACACTTGTTGGTAAGCTACCGTCACTCATCATGATCGTCTACGTCCCATGCTTAGACTTTGTGTCAATTCCAGATTCCTCTACCCAGATCGTCGAAGCCATCTGGCCACTTTCGTCGGTCATCTGCCACAATGATATCGGCGGCAAGGCCGTTCTGCCCCTGCGCACCTTCATCCAGGAGACGCTCCGCAGATCGCGCACCAGCTACTCCACGCTCCAAGTCGCCCTGTACTATCTCATCCTGATCAAGCCTCACGTCCCAAAGCACGATTTTACCATGGAACAGCCGGACGACCGTCATGAGTGTCGTGCTCTTCAATGCGGCCGCCGTATGTTTCTCGCTGCTCTGATTCTCGCCTCCAAGTATCTTCAAGACCGCAACTATTCCGCCCGTGCGTGGAGCAAAATCTCCGGACTCGCAACAAACGAGATCAATCAGAACGAGTTGGCTTTCATCTTTGCCGTCAACTGGGAGCTTCACATCACCGATGACGTTTTCCAGCGCTGGACCGATATCGTCCTGAAGTACACGCCTCCATCCCCGCCACCCCCAGGCTCACCTTCCGGACCTCTCTATGCCCAGCAGAGCGCCAACTGGAAGAAGGTCATTCTCCTCCTGAACCCCGGCCTCGACAATGTCGGCGGACTCTTCCCTGCGGCATCGCTCAAGCTCAAGTCGCGACAGCATGCGGCGCCTTCGGGTGGCAACCTGCCTTCTACCCCATGCGACGCACCGATCCAAGGCCAAGCGGCTACGGGCTCTGCTGATGCGACCCCGACTCCTCGATCCTACGTCGCCCCCCACACGATGGAGCCCGTGCCCGCTTCCACGTATACGCCTGGTCGCCATGTCCCTGCGCTTGGTCTCCTGCCCACGCCTCGCATGACCCCCCAACTGGCTGGACAAAGCACTCCTGCCGTGAGTGCTGCGTCTTGTCTCCTGGGCAGGGGCTCGGCGATGGGTCTGGCCATGGCTCAAGCCTCCAACGCCTGCGCAGCTCAGAACCTCGACAGGTGGCAAGTCCCCGTCACTTCCTCTCCGCACGTTGCTCTCCCCGTCCGCCGCACTTCCTTGGCCATCTCGGTGTCCACTGCTTTCATCTCCCGAATCCATGGTGTCCGATTCTTCTCGGACCTCACGCTCGTCTTCCATATCCTCTGCATCGTCGCTCGCTAGCGCGACAGCCCAGAAATGGGCGTTTCGGCTGCGATTCGGCAGCGCGAAAGCTAGGTTGTGAAAACGGGTCCGGAGGCCTGCAATCACTCTGTTCCA